AGATAGATAGATAGATAGATAGATAGATAGATAGATAGATAGATAGATAGATAGATAGATAGATAGATAGATAGATATGAATATCAGAAAGGTATGTTTTTTCAAAAGCCATATCGGAGGAAAGGAGGTTGGTCAAAGAAAGGATAGGACTCCTGCTCGGGGTGGATGGAACTCCTGAACAGGGTGAATAGAGAGAAGGCAGAGCCACTCAATTCTCATTCAGCTTGTTTTCTCTGCCAAGTAAATGGCGTTTTTTGGACTGGAAAGGACAGACAAAGTTGGGTTGACAGGGACTTCGTGCCCAAGATAAATAAGGCTGTGGTATCAGGACCTGCAGGTGCCCTTTGATGAGCTCAAGTTCCTGGGCTCAAGTGAACAACATTCCTCGGTTCTTCACCAAATGAGTAGATGTAATTGCTTAATTGCCGTCAGTGACCCCTGAAAGATCATAAAGAACAGAAGAGGTGCAACAGGACCAGAGAAGGGCAAATGTTTCCATTTTACAAATCAATGGGAAGAGAATGAAATCTGAAAGACAACAATAGGCCAGTGAGTTTGCCTTGGATTCCGAGCAAAACTCTAGGATGTCTTATTAAAGGGATTATTAGTGACCACCCAGGAAGGCCATGCTGGGCTGTAGGTAGAGTTAATCTGGAATTTAGCAAAGCATTTGATACCATGGCCCATGCTATTCCTGTGGAAGAAATAGAGAAATCTGGGCTAGACACTAATATAAATAGATAGATTTGGAGCTGATTGAGTGGCTGGACCCCAAATGGCAGGATGTCAGCTTGGAAGAAAGTCTCTAATCAAGTGCACCAGAGAGCTGTACTTCACTTTCTCATATTCTACTGTTTACAATTTTGATCGATTCAGATAAACACACTGGTGGCATGCTTATCGAGTTTTTAGATGACACAAATCTGGGAGGGACAACCAACCCACTGGATGACAGTCAGGGTTCAAAATATCTCAATCCACTAGAATTTGGACTAAATCGAATGGGATGAGTGTTAATAGGGATAAATGTCAAGTCTTAGACTTGAGTTCAAAAAATCCCATCTCACAAGGTCCAAATGGGGGAGGTGTGATTGGATGGGAGGTTGGTTTTTTTTTTTTTAAATCTTGGATTTTTAGTGAGGAGCCTTGTATCAATGCAGGCTGGTCTAGATGGTCTTTGAGATCCCTTCCAACTCTGAGATCCATAGATTCTGTGACTGTTGATTTGATATAAGTTAACAGTGGGATATAGTCACCAAAAAAGCATTGAGAGGCACAGAATCCATGACTAAGGAGGTAATGGGTGGTCCTTCGGTCTTGTGCCCTATTCAGGCCTCCTCTGACTAAGCGATAGTGTTGTTCCCAGGTCTGGGAATATTTTAGAAAGGATATCGGGGAGTGTCCACAGAATGACAACCAGGATGGCCTTGAGTTTGTGCCATATAAGGGTCTGTTGAAGGGGTGGAATATGAAAGTTCTCTTCAGGTATCCGAAAGGGATTAGATTTGGTCTGTGTGCCCCAGAGGGCAGAACTGGGAGCAGCAGCTGAGAGGGAAAAGAGAGTTACAAAGGCAAATTTAAGCTAGAGGTAGGGGGAAAGCCACCTAAGAGCTATTCCAAAGCAGCCCAGGACATCATTGGAGATGGCCGATTGCCATTCCCTGGGGGTCTTTCAACCCTTCAAGTCTTCAGGCAGATGCTGGGTGACCACCTGTTGAGGACGGAACAGAATGAAGTTGTTTTTTTCAGATATGGGTGGAGCTAGATGAGCTCTGGGGTCCCATGAAACTCTACAATTCTATGATATTGCTCCCCTAGAGTGGAGGATGTCAGCCTTGAAGGACCCCATAATATAGAATGTTCATACCAGAAGGGACATTAAAGCAAAGAACACAGGATCTCTAGGCTGGAAGACACCTTAGAACATAGAACATAGAACCCCAGAAGTGACTCCAGAACATGGAGCTGGTAAATGTTGAACAATTGTCTCTCCAGAAAAAAAGTGCTCATGAGGCTTTTTAAAGCTTGATCTTTGCTATTATCTCTTTCTTGAGTGTATATGATCAACAAAACAATAAAGAAAGCCCTGATTTGCAGGTTTGCCCATTTCTGGGGAGTGTAAACACTCACCCTGGAAATTTAACAATCAGCCCTCTCGATTGGAGCTGGCTCAGGCATACCCTTGGCTGAGCGGAACATTCGAACATAGAGCACAGAATGGCAGAGCTGGGAGAAGCCTTAGGGAATAGAACGTGAGAGCTGGGAGGGCCCTTAGCGTCCATCTTCTCCAGCTGCATCGTTTTGCAGAGGCTGAAACTGAGGTGGATGGAGACTCTGCTGGTCACTCAGCATGTGTCTTAGCCTTTGGGGCTCGTCCCTCGCGTTCCCGCTCTCTCATCCGCCCCCAGCCTCAAGCCCAGCCTGTCGCTCCCCTCTTTCTCATCTCCACCCTCAGAGAGCGTGAGGGTGAGGGAGAGGTGGAGGAGAAGTTGCTAGGTGAGGACAGATGGCCCCGGCTCTACAGCAGGCCTGCCTTCATCCAGGGCCAGCCCTCGATGGTGTCTGACCGAAGGGCTGGCCTAGGGCCATTTTTCTCCAGGAAGCAAAGGTAGCTACAGTAGACAGATGGTCCCACTGAGGTTGGAGCAGTGGGGGAGGGGCAGCAGTTCCGCAGCCACCTGAAAGAGGGAGGGAGGGAGGGAGGTAAGAGCCATGACCATTTTCCTCCCCAAGACAAGTAGTACCTAGATCTTGCACCTGGAAGAGGCAAAGGGGGCCAGACTAGGCCCACCTGTGAGGTGAGAAGGGGATGGGCAATCCCCTGGAGATGAGGGGGGAGGGGCAGATGATTACTAGTGCTCAGGTGGTCACTGCTTCCTCCAGAGATGGGAAGGACACAGTGCTCAGGTGAGCCGTGGGAGGGATGCGGGGAGGGGAACCTAGATGTGGAGAGGACCAGGTGAAGGAGAGCAGGTGATGGCCTTGGCCTCGGACAATGGGAGAGCAAGGGCATTTGGAGGTCATGGGCTTGAGGAAAGGACAACACTGGGCTTCTCTCCCACACATCCCCCATTACCATCCATCTGCCCCCCAGCCCCACCGTCCAACCCTCCCCATCTGCTCTTGTCCTCCCTCCAGGTGTTCCCACTCACCTGTCTTTCTGGCTTCCTCTCCTCCTGGTTCCAGGCTCCCTCCACATCCCCACATCTCCATCCTGGGATGCTGGGTGCTTGGTATTTGGAACCTAGTCTCCCTCAAGCTGCTGCCTCCCCACCTCTTCACTCACACAGACACAGACACACACACACACACACACACACACACACACACACACACACACGTGCTGGGGTTTCTATTACTCTGGGATCAGACATGAAGGAGAGAAAATGCTGACAAAGTCGGCTCTGGTTGTCATGGCAACCACAGCCCTAATTAGTGTGTGCGGCCTGGTTCTCTCCAGCTTGGAGAGGGGGAGGGGGCAGGGGAAAGGAGGGGGAAGGGGGAGAGCTAAGGATGGGAGGGAGGGGGCCCCTGGAGGCAGAGCTCTATAGAGCTAGGAAATCCTGCATCCTGGGACCTGCTCTGCCCCCTTCCTCCCTCCCGGCTTTCCTCAATTAATGGGGAGGTTAAGGGACTGCAGTGCCTTTTCCCTGAGGTCGAACTCAAGAGGCCCCTTCTTTTCTGGCTCTTTCTCCATGGCCGGAAGGAGGCCTGGCCCAGGGGTTCTCCATCCCTCTCCCACTCCAGGGTCACAGACTGTCAGAGAGGGAAGAGACCTTAGAACGTAGAACATCAGAGCTGGGAGGTCATTTATACCATAAACCAAAAGCTCCAAGTAAGAGCGACCTTTAGAAGCCATCTTGCGGAAACCCCCTGTTTTACAGCTGGACAGGCTGTGGTCCAGAGAAGGGAGGTGATACTCCAAGGCACCACTTGGCTCTTCCAGTTCCCAAGCCAGCATCTTTCCTCTCTGCCAGGCTATCCTTCCCCTGGTCCCCTGACCCCCCACTCACCCCAGGTTTACACCGCAGGAAGCAGCCCCCCCACCCCTGTCTTAAGCCTGCTCAGAGTTTGCCTGGGAAGTGCTAACCTGTTCTGGGGCCCCTTGTCTCCCTACTTCCCCCATTCTTGTCCCTCCAGAACACAGATGACCTCCTGGTAGCATCAGCAGAGTGCCCAAGTGACGATGAGGACCTGGAGGAGTGTGAGCCTAGTACTGGTGAGTGTCTCTCCCCCCTCCCCCTGGGGACCCCTGTCTTCTGACTCATCTGGGAGGAGGGGGCGACCATCCCTATACCACCCCAGGCCCCCCCAAGAGCTGGGACCCCACCCAAAGGGATGACTGCTAGGTCTTAGCTCTCTCTGACATCCCCAGCCCACTTTCCAGCCAATTCAGCCCCCCCTTGGACAGCCCCATCTCCCTCCACCATCCCCTGTACAGGTGGCAAACAGACCCCCAATAGAGCAAGTGATCTGGCCCTTGTTGGAGGATGTGGGATTGGCTCTCCCATCTCTGGGGTCTGTAGCTTGTGCTAAGCCAAAGCTTAGGTAGATTGGGAGGAGAAAAAGGAGAACTCTCCAGAGAGATGCTGAACTACAACTCCCATGAACTCTTGTGTGAAGGAGGGTGGGGAGGGCTGGGACCGTAGCTCCCATCATTCCCTGAGAGAAGGACATCTCCTATGAGACTTTGAGGATCTGGGGGAAGATCCCCAGTATCCAGGATGGTGGTTGGGGGGGCAAGGGGGTCGTGGAATGGTACCGGCATCCAAGACAGAGCCAACAGTGGCCTCTGGGAATCATGAAAGCTCCCATCATCTCTGGGAGAAGGCGACCAGTCCCAGCAGCTGCAGGGGAGTTGGGATGCCCAGGGCTCGATTCCCGGGCTTGCCTACCCGCTCTCTCTCCCCTACCCCCAAAGGTTCCCCTAGTCTTTTGAGATGAAGCTCCGATTAGACGGGAAAAAATTCACATGCGGCCACGCAGGCACATCCCCAGAAGGCAAGACCAAATCTGGTCCACTGTGCACTCTGCCTTGGGCTGTGTACTGGGCAGGCAAAAGACAGGATCTCTGCTCTCACGAGCTTACCTGCTAGCTACACGTAAGCATACTTAGCAACATTAAAATGACAGCATAGAACAGAGTAGAAGGTCAATAGTGACAGCAAACATTTATTAAGCACCTACTGTGTGCAGATAGGAGAGACATAGTGGTAAGACATAGTGTCTTAGGTCACTGGACTGTGCATAAACTTCATAGTATGGGGGTAATGGTAAAAATGGTGATAAATAACCACTCTATGGTGCTTTGAAGCTAGTAAAGTGCTTTATATTTGAAGTCTCCTGAATTCTTTTAGGAATTCAGAAGAGGGAGAGATCATGGAAACCTTCTTAGAGGAGGTGGGCCTGCAACTGACCCTCAAAGCAGTCAGTTAACAAGTATTTATGAAGAGCTTCCAGTCTTCCCATTGCTATGCTGGTATTTGGAGGATTAGTATTTGCATAGGCAGGGAGGAGAGGCCATTACAAGAGAAGGGAATGGTATGAGCCAAGATGAGTGGCTGTGGGTGTGGAGACTGGTGTGAAGGGGGAGGATGGCTTGTGTAGGGAAAGAGTGGCATTGTCTAGGCAGAATTGGGCCACCTTGAATACCAGCCTGGTTTAGACCTGACCCTAGGACAAAGGGGAGCCAGTGAAGATTCTAAGGAGGAGAAGGATGCAGTTAAAGTAATGTTTCAGGAAGACTAGTCTGGTGGTATGGGCAGGACTGATTATTTGAAGTAAAGGAGAGAGACTGGAGGCAAGTGATTGCAGTAGCCCAGGGCTGAGTGATGAGGCCCTGAACCGGGATGATGTCGGTGAGCACTGGAAAGGAGATGAAGGAGACATTCCCAGGAAGCCTTTGTTCCGGTGAAATGTAAGCTCTCTGAGGGCTAAGACTTTCTGTCTTCTTGTCCCTGGTACCTTTGTCTCATGGGATTGGCTGGCCTAGTGCTGATGGGCATCTCCAAGTTTAGCTGGTATGGTTCTCAGAAATCAGCCTTCATCTGTCACTAGGACCACACTGAAAGCCATTCCCTTGTGGTGAGACTTGCCCTGGTTGATACTCTGCTGACTTAGCATTCGAGAACCCAGTGCTTTCTCTACATCACAGTGCAACACTGTGATAAGATATGTAGCGCTCAGCATAATTCTTGGCTCACAGTAGGTGCCTAATAGAGGTTGAATTGAATTGAAAATAAGACCGGATAGGGTTTGGTGACCAACTGAATCTAGGGGAGAAAGGCAAGAAAAAGTTAAAGATGACTCCAGGAATTCCAGCCTGCATAATAGGGAGAATTGTAACATCAAGTATTCAAGCTTAGCAAACCTTTATTAAACACCTACTGTGTGCAGAGCAGAGCTGGTGGTGATGCAAAATTTAGATAGGACAATTTCTTTCCACATGGAACTCATAAGCTGATCGGGGATTCAAAATGAAGAATTCAACAAATATTTATTGAGTTTCTCCTATGCACAAGGACCATTGACTGATGTTGGGTGGGCTTGCCAGTTCTGGGGAAAGATTTGCCCTGTTAAACTTTGGACAATGGTGGGATGTCCAGGTCTAACAGTCCAGCTGGCAGTAGGAGACACAGGAATGGAGACAGAGGTCTGGGGATGTTAGTCTTCTACATTGAGGGGGATCATAGATTGTGAGGTCATCTAATGCATAACCCACCCCCCATTTGAAAAAGGAGTGAAATGAGGTCCAGAGGGGTTAGGTAACTTGTCCAAGGTCATACATGTCAGAAATGGCAAAGCCAGGACCTGATTCTTGGTCCTCTGGCTCCAAATTCGCCTCAGTCCTCCTGCGCCAGTTATCTAGAGGTGGATTTCCAGCCATTTCAGTCATTCACAGCAGAAAATGCCATTTAAACTGCCAGAATGTCTGAAAAACCACGGGCTTCATTTTGGAAGCTAGGCATTGCAGGAGAGCATGTTTATTCTGGTTTTATGCCCAATCCTAACAAGCCTGAAGATCCACTTTCCACAACAGATGAGAAGCCATAAATCAGAAGCAAGTGAGGAGAGCCTGATGTGGGCTAGCGTATAGGAGAAAGCTGAACTGGCAGTCAGACAAGGAAAAGAAATGAATTAGCTGGAGGAAAGTGCAGCAGTCTGGGGCCATTTCATTTTGAGACAAACATCATACCACCGTGATAAGCCCAAGGGCTTCTCTGTATTTCAGCACAATATCAATGATAATTGATGTTCAAAGCCATGAATGGGAGTGTGTGAGCTCCTCATAGAGAGAGAACAGGGAGTTGACAATGAACGTTGAAGAAAATTGATCGTTTAGGAGTGGGGGGAGAGAGAGAGAGCAGAAAGTGGACCAGAGGTGGCAAAAGACCCAGATGTTGATGGGTCATCAGGCTCCTCCTAGGAGCATAAGGGCTTGTTCATGCTTGGTTCTCAAAGATAACCAGTGACCTCGGGAAGGTGATGTCTTCATTTGCAAGTGAATTGGATTCAAGTCTGGAACAGGGCCTGATGATTAACTGAACATGGTCCAGCATTCAGGGGCATTTGTTCTGTTCCTGGTCTAGAACCATCTCTTGTATATATGGGAATGGCGTGGTGTCTCTGTCTCCTCTTTGCCTTCAAGATGTGCCTTCTCCAAGCATCTGGCTAGGGCATGTTTCTTGGCTTGATTGGGGAAGGTTGGGTAGAGAGGAAAGAGAGAGGAGCCAGAGAGACTTCCCTTCAAGGATCTGTGACTTCCCAGCCCAAAGTGGCATCTCTCCCTGGGGCTGTTGGCTCATATAGATTACTGGCAACATAGAGGGTAGGGCTGGGGTGGGGCATTGATGCCTTCTCAGTTCTTAAAACTCAATAACAAGTCTCCCTTATACATCTCACTTATAGTCTTATAGGTCTTTTGTAGAAAGGAGGATTGGAATGGAGCCTAGGAGGAAAGTAGAGAAAATCCCCACTCGGCAATGGGTTGGATGGGATGAGACTCTCTCCAATCATAAGATTTTCTTATTTTCTGGTGGACTTATCACCCCCTCCCCTATTGTGGAGAAAGCCCTGGAGGGAGGGAGGTTTGTACCAGAGGGATGAGGAGGGATTCGCTGATGCACAAAGCCCTGCATCTTTCTTCCTCCCATGTGGCACATCCTCGGGCCCAACTCCGGCTTTGAATCTGAGGGCTCCTGGCTTTCTAGAGACTCCAAGCCAGGCCTTCCCAGCTCGTCAGCTGCTAAGGGTTATCTCAGCTAGGGCATGGCTCCTCCATTCCAGAGGCATTTACAATTCAGGATCTACTGGGTGAGTGGGTTTCATCAGAGGTAAGGGGTACAGGGATGGGTCCGGGGGGGGTTCAGAAGTGGTTTGTTCAAGGTGACATAGTCAAGAAGTAACAGAACACAAATGTGACACCACGTGGGTTAAATCCTTCAAACACCTGTGTCTGTACATTGTCAGAACTTTCCTTTCTCTTTGGTGCTGAAGTTAGTGACGTCAGTGGTTGCTAGGCAGATCCTCCTCTGGGAGGTAAACGATGTCCAATCTGTGTGCAATCATTTCTGTTGCTTCTTCTGGTTGTCTGGGCAGTAGGGATAAAAGGAGTGAAGAGTCACAGAATTTCGGAGCTCACAGGCCCTTTAGAGTTCATCTACTCCAATGCCTCCATTGTACGTCTGAGGAAACTAAAGCCCCAGAGGGGGAAGGGCATCTCCCAAGATCATCCACCAAATTAGGGGTAGATGGAAGTCTGCAGCCCACCCCTCAGTTCCAAGACCACCCACTGAATTAGGGGCAGGTGTTGGTCTTCAGCCCACCTCTCAGTCCCAAGACCACCCACTAAGTTAGGGGCAGATGGAGGTCTTCAGCCCACCTCCCAGCGCCCAGACCACCGACTGAATTAGCGGCAGATCGAGGTCTGCAGCCCATGCCTCAGTCTCAAGACCATCCACTGAATTAAGGGCAGATCGAGGTCTGCCGCCTGCCCCCCAGGTCATCTACTAGCACAAGAGAGGTACAGAGATGGGGAGACTCGGAGCCAAAAGAGCAATGCAGGGGTCTAAGTCAACCAATCAACAAACATTTATTAAGCACTTACTGTGTGCCTGACACTGAGCTATGCACTGCTATACAAAGAGAAAGCAAAAACAGCCCCTGTCCTTAAGAAGCTTACATTCTAATGGAGGAGACACCATGCACACAAATGGTTAG